GGAGGGCATACATGCTATTAAACTTCTGCTTGTTTTTCTCCAGTTAATCTGCCTTTTATCACAAGGGGGTCTCAGCCAAGAACGTGGAAGAGTAGAGGAACATTTTTTATTTTTCCTCCCCCACAAACCTAATAAAGAAGGGGAAATAAAATGATGAAATTTAGATAAGAATTAATAAATCAGAGAGCAAGAAAAATATTGAACTGCATTTATTCCAAAAAGAAAAAGGAGCCATTCTTTCATGAGTCAAAGAAGGGAGAGGGAGGGAGGAAGGGAGGAAGGGAAGGAAGGGAGGGAGGGAGGAAGGAAGGAAGGAAGGAACGAAGGAACGAAGGAAGGAAGGAAGGAAGGAAGACAATAGCTAGAATAATCCAGGCGAGAGAGAGAAAAAAATATATATAAGAAGCATAGCTTAAGCTGTAATGAGCCAGGGAATGAAACTACATCATCATTAAATCAAGAGATTTAAAATCTCTCATCAGACATTGGTTTCTGCCATGACACAATAAATGGTACAAGAATAGGCCTGAAATCATAAGCAACACTAAACGTGAACAAAATGGTTTCAATGTTGGGAAAATATTGAGCAAGAAAACCTTGCTCCTGGTCATTTTGCAATCACCATACCTACTGAGGCGGCATTTACACTGAGAATTACCATTAGTCTCTCATTTGGCTTAACTCCCAAGGTTACCTATTGTCAAATAGGTTTATGCTGGATTTTTAATCTCCAAATAACCCTGCTTTAGCAGCACTAAACTTTTGATGACTGGAAGAATTCTCCTCAGAAGTTCATCGAAGATATAATACATACAAAAGTAGCTCCTTTATTCACACCAACAAATTATCTCCTGAAATTCTGGAGTACGAGCAGGCTTTCCTGTAAGAGGCACTTTTAAATCTACATGAAAACTGATTTCATTACTATTACTGAACCAAGTGGGCTCACCTCCTGCTGAATTAAATAAGACTCTACACAAGGAAGTTGTCTCACAAAGTAAAGTGTATTTGCAGCAAATAGGAGGCCATGAGGAATCACTTCCAAAGTCAAGGCACCTCTGAACAAAGGGAAGCAGGAACTTTTATTTGGTTGGGAAAGGAATATTCAAAAGGGAAAGCTGAGTATTCACTGGCACAGGCTCAGTTGGAGAACATGTTTCCACATAACGAGGCCTAAGCTCCTCCTGGAGGAGCATTAAAAATAAGGCAAAGGTCATGGGAGTAGCTCTGGTGGTGAGGCTTGGGCAGTTTCAGGATGGCTGGTGGTTACATCTATTTAACATACAAAAGGAAAAGAAGCAACTTGAAAAAACAGTTAATTGCTTCCAAACCCACCTTGGAGTTTCTCGAGGCACCTAGTTGATGACATTACCATGAATTAATACAAGATTCACAAGAATATTTTAATCTGATTCTCAGTCTATCCCTTTTCAGATTCTTCCTTTGCTTCCTCATCTTGGACAAATAATCCTCAATAAAATATTGCAGGTTTCTTTTCATATTTTAATTTCTTTTCATTCTTATTTAAGAAAGTCTTTGACCTGAACATGGACAGAGGAAGTGAGCTTTGGGCCACTAATTAACTATGAAATGTTTACTAGTCTCAGTGCTGATTTTGCCTCCTGCCCTCCTTTTTCTTTTATAAAATAAAAAACAAGTACACTAAAAGAGTAAAACAAATTGTACAAATTTTGCCATGTGGACAAATTAGGTGACTGCAAACCAGAATGGAGAGCCTGCACCACATTTTCCTTGTGATGACTCAAAATATCTATTTATCACCTAACGAACACTTCTAGAGGGAAGTTAATTATGGAGTGCCATTCAATGCATAAAAGATAAATTGTGGGTTTTAGCAAAGGATAATACAACATTGGTCATGATATACTATGAAATTTTAATCATAAGATGAGGATTGGATACTGAATATACAGTATAATGTAGGGGGAAGAGGGAGAATCTCCCTCTGCCCTTTTCCTTAAGGTTCTTATGGCTGGCCAAATAATCAACAAGACAGGTTAGCAGGAGAAAATAATACCAAGTTTAATAACATGTATACATGGGAGAAAGCAGGGACACAGCGTTTCTCAACACAATAGCAGAAATTCTCATCTTAAATACCATGTTCAGCCAATGACAAAGGAGGATTTTGGGGGTGAGGGGAGTCAGTTACAGGAGATTACCACTAAAGCACACTAAACAAGAGTAAGGTATATTATGTAGCCCCAAGGCCTCACCTTCCACATTGATAAGTCTCTAGAAATGAGCTCATCCCCCCTCTTCCCAATACAGAGAGGGAGATACCTTTACAAATGGAGACTTCCCTTGTAAATGTAAATGATTGTCTGGCAACTCCTCACAGGGTCATCTAGAGAATGTGGCCAGAGAGACAGAACTTCTGATAAGATGGGCTTGTTGGTGCCTTTCCTATTGTAATCTCTATCCTACATTATCTTTATAGCCATCATGATAGATCTGTTCCGGGAAGGAGCCACCATGTCAAATTCTTTAGGCAGTTAGTGGGGGAGGTCAAATGTCCCTAGAGAAAACAACCAAAGTAAAGAGATAGATTTCAGGGTGGCCAAATCTTGATCTCTCACAATAACAACAATTACGCAAATCTATAGGTACAGAAATAAGCATTATATGAACAAAAGAAAATAATTGGGAGAAATTCATCAAAATATTCCAACAGTTTTGACTTGTTTTCAATTTGTTCTTTAAATTTTGTCATATTTTATTTTTTTCCTAATGAACATGTATACTCCTATGATAGTGTTGCGGGAAGAGGGAGAATCTCCCTCTGCCCTTTCCCTTAAGGTTCTTATGGCTGGCCAAATAATTAACAAGACAGGTTAGCAGGAGAAAATAATACCAAGTTTAATAACATGTGTACATGGGAGAAAGCAGGGACACAGCGTTTCTCAACACAATAGCAGAAATTCTCGTCTTAAATACCATGATCAGCCAGTGACAAAGGAGGATGTTGGGGGTGGGGGGAGTCAGTTACAGGAGATTACCACTAAAGCACAGGAAACAAGAGTAAGGTTATTATGCAGATTTAAAGCCTCACCTTCCACATTGATAAGCCTCTAGAAATGAGGCCATCCCCCCTCTTCCCAAAACAGAGAGGGAGATACATTTACAAATGGAGATTTCCCTTATAAATGTAAATGATTGTCTGGCAACTCCTCGCAGAGGCATCCAGAGAATGTAGCCAGAGAGACAGAACTTCTGATAAGAGGGGCTTGTTGGTGCCTTTCTTATTGTAACCTCTATCCTACATTATCTTTACAGCCATCATGATAGATCTGTTCCAGGAAGGAGCCACCATGTCAAATTCTTTAGGCAGTTAGTGGGGGAGGTCAAATGTCCCTAGAGAAAACAACCAAGGTAAACAGATAGATTTCAGGGTGGCCAAACTTGATCTCCCACAATAGTATTGCTTATTTAAATATAAAAATGTCTCACTGTGAAAAATGTATCCTTCCATTCCTGATAGTTTCAGTCATAGAGTAATTAAGTATTTTTCTAGAAATAGCATCTCCAGCACCTCAGGCAAAAATTTAGAGCATCCAAAGGAAGACCAATTCATCAGGCCCTTCATTGTGTGGTTTGTAAGGGAAAAGACAACTATTTTCTCAAAACCTAACATATCTGCAGTTAGTCCTTGAACTTGTGTTCTCAGAAACATGCCAAGCAATCTTCCTTTGAAATTGGTCCCCAGGGATGACAAAATGTTGCAGTATCATCAATCCCCCGTATATGAGGGGCCCTGGAATTATGACTGTGAGAGGCAAGGCACACTCTGCTCTGCTTATGTTCACAGTAGCTCCTGATATTCTTTTCAGACATAACTTCCTGGCAAAACTTCCACTTGACTGGGACCTGAAAAAAGTTTCTAGGTTGATCTATTTTTGCCTCAGAATAAAACAGAAATGAATGCACTAAAATTTGAAAAGAACTTATCTCAAAAAAACAAAATATTATATTACAGAATTTTTTGACTCAAATGGTTTTTATATTTTATTTGTGAGGTTGACAAATATCTAGACAGATAACACTGGAAGACAGGTATTTTCCATGAACTTTGGCTCACAGCAAGTATTATTCTCAAAGTTAGAGGGTTTTAGTCAGGATCAAATAAAATGGGGGCATTATCAGAAGAGTATGCATACACATATCATTTAGACCGTACCCTAAGTCATGTCAGGATTTGTGGAAACAGAAATAGAGAGTTGATAGAATCGGAGTCTACAGCAATGTACATATTTTAGAAATACGATTTTTGGTAGAAGTTTGGTTTTGAATGGTCAAGTTAGGAAAACCATTATATTTTTTGAAAATTAATACTAATATGTGGCTTATAATTTTATCACATCCTACTAAAGTCCTCTAAGGTTGAAACTTATTTGTCATTAGTATTAAATAATGTTGGAAACAAAAGGACAGTAAATAAAGAGTTAAAACTGTTTTCCATCATTGTTTAGTATATGTCTAGCATTTTTCTCAGGTTTGCTGAAGTTAGTTATAAACGGGCATATAGTGTTATGACTATGCTTGCTGGAGTCAATCTATCTTGGTAGAATCACAGAACTAACATTAAATAGCTCTGACTCCGGTTAAGTTACTTAAACTGTCTGCGTGCTTTTTCTCTTCTAAAAATTGTGGCTAATGGTAGCAACTATGGTATAAAATTCTCATGTGGATTAAATGCGTTAATAAAGAGAAGAATTTAGAGCAGTATCAGGCTTATTCTAATTATGCAGTATGTTAGCTTTTATTACATCATGTCCAAATGTCAATTTATACTTATTTCTATATTTGGTTGAAAATAGAATTTTTCCATCATATTCTGTAAACCACTCATTATTATCAATTTCTAAAAATGCTAAACTTATATAACTATGCCAGGTCATTCATACAAATATAAATCTTTTGAAGTCATTCCTGCTAAGTATCAACTTTGATTTCTCAACAGTTTAAAGCAGTTGAACACAATGGATAGAAAGAACAATACAGACATGCCTGACTTCATCCTTATGGGATTGACAGATTCTGAAGAGATCCAGCTGGTCCTCTTTATGCTATTTCTCCTGATACACCTGATTACTGTGCTGAGGAATGTGGGGATGATACTGATAATCCGCCTGGATCTCCAGCTACACACTCCCATGTATTTTTTCCTCAGTCACCTGTCATTTCTCAATCTCAGTTACTCAACCGTCATCACACCTAAAACCTTAGAGAACATAGTGACTTCCAACAGATATATTTCATCCATGAGCTGCTTCACCCAGACGTACTGTTTTGCCTTCTCAGGTGCCACTGGATGTTTCCTGTCTCCTTATTGGCCTATGATCACTATGTGTCTATCTGCAACCCTCTACACTACCCAGTTGTTACGTCTACAAGACTCTGCAGCTCCCTCATCTTTGGGTCCTATTTGATTGGCTTTACAGACTACTTTGTCAATATACTTTGCATGAGCAGATGGAATTTCTGCAACTCCAATGTAATCAATGGCTTTTTCTGTGACACATCCTCAATTTTAGCCCAGTCCTGCACTGACACATATGACAGTGAATTCATGACATTCATTGTCACTGGCTCCACCTTAATGGTGTCTCTTATAATATCTGTGTCTTATTTGTCCATTGTGTCTACTGTCCTGAAAATTACTTCAACTTCAGGAAAGCAAAAAGCCTTCTCCCCTTGTGCCTCCCATCTCCTGGGAGTCACCATCTTCTATGGCACTATGATTTTTACTTATTTAAAACTGAGTAAATCCTACCCATTGGGAAAGGAACAAGTGGCTCCTGTTTTTTATACTATTGTGATCTCCATGCTGAATCCATTCATTTATAGAATTAGGAATAAAGAAGTGAAAAGCATTCTCGTTAGAGTCATGCAGAAAAGAGAGGGCTCCAGGCAATTAATATAATAGCGATGCTAAACTTTTAAGCTCATCTTCTCTTCCTTCCCTATAGGGTATTTCCTTGGTGTCTTTCCAAAAACAATTGAATTCTTTAATTTGTTTGTATTTCTGTTGAACCATCCTTTACTTAACCAGATATGATCTTGGACATTTCCAGGAATATGTCTTTAGAAATTCATATTGTAATTGGAAATCCTGAAATATATATTAAATCTATGGTCTAAATATATGTGTTTTTAAGGGCAATTGACATACAAAGAGTTGTCATCTTTTAAGCTATATCAAATAAATTCCCATGCATACTTCAACTTCAGAGAATTTTATTATGAAAAAGAGCTCCATTTTGGGCACAATGAGATCATTTTTTTATTGTATAGAGAAGAAATATAGCAGAGTGATTACAAGTACTTTCTTTGGCACCAAACATTCCAGGATTTAGATTCTACCCTTTTAGCTGTAGAACCCTTAGTAAGTCACTGAAACTTTAAGCCTCAGTTTCCTCAACTGCGCAAGATAAATAATAACTCCAGGCCCATAGAGTTATTGTAAAGATTAAACAAGATGGTGGTTGTAAAGCATCTAAGGCAGCACTAATGAATGCTGGCCATTATCATTAGAAGACTTCCATTCCTGCAATATTTTTAGTGCACAGTGGCTTTTTTTCTTTTTTTTTTTTTGTGAGGAAGATCAGCCCTGAGCTAACATCTGCCAATCTTCCTCTTTTTGCTGAGGAAGACTCGCCCTGGGCTAACACCCATGCCCATCTTCCTCCACTTTATATGGGACGCCGCCACAGCATGGCTTGACAAGCGGTGCGTCGGTGCACGCCTGGGATCTGAACCAGCGAACCCTGGGCTGCCGCAGCGGAGCACACGCACTTAACTGCTTGTGCCACCGGGCTGGCCCAACAGTGGCGTTTTCTTAAAGAATATTCACTTGTGTTTTATTAATTCCTTTTGGTTAATTTAATTGACAAATACACAAACAGCTAAGGAAAAACAGCACTTCACATTTTGGATTTAGAATGGTGTACATTAACATTGGAGAAAATTTGGGTAATATTGAAAAAATTAAGAAAAATCTCTGGAACAATTATTAATTTTGTGTTCTAGATCGATAGTTATGAATGTATGTGCATATATTACACATACAAGTGTCGGGGGAAGAGGGAGAATCTCCCTCTGCCCTTTCCCTTAAGGTTCTTCTGGCTGGCCAAATAATCAACAAGACAGGTTAGCAGGAGAAAATAATACCAAGTTTAATAACATGTATACATGGGAGAAAGCAGGGACACTGCGTTTCTCAACACAATAGCAGAAATTCTCGTCTTAAATACCATTTTCAGCCAATGACAAAGGAGGATTTTGGGGGTGGGGGGAGTCAGTTACAGGAGATTACCACTAAAGCACAGTAAACAAGAGTAAGGTTATTATACAGCCCCAAGGCCTCACCTTCCACATTGATAAGTTACTAGAAATGAGCTCACCCCCCCCTTTTCCCAATACAGAGAGGGAGATACCTTTACAAATGGAGACTTCCCTTGTAAATGATTGTCTGACAACTCCTCGCAGGGCCATCCAAAGAATGTGGCCAGAGAGACAGAACTCCTGATAAGATGGGCTTGTTGGTGCCTTTTCTATTGTAACCTCTATCCTAAATTATCTTTTATAGCAGTCATGATAATAACCCCTTCCTAAAACAGATTTTTTGGTTTTAAATTCTTTAGGCAGTTTGGGAGGGGAAACTCAAATATTTTTCCTGAGCTCTCTGAGTCCTTATTGTCTTCAGCTCGAAATAATCTGCATACCAGAGTGGTGCTTCCTGGGGCAGCTTGCCCTGAGCACCATCACAAGCAAAATTCCTGTTGTTTTCCATGTATATTTTTGCAGCTTTCTGTATACACTTACAAGTTTAACCTTTGATAATATCTGTCATTGAAACCTGTGAGATGGACGTGTTATTCGTACATCGGAAAAATCAAGACTCTCATCTTGCAATGCTTTGGACCTGAAATGTTGTAAATTCCTCAAGTTAAAAATCTCATGCAGTGATACCTCTTCAGTGGTTATTTGCTAAACATTTTAAAACTCTGCTTTTCTATGATGTGTCAACAAGCATCAGTAAATTGTTTCTGTGTGGTAATTCTGTGTATTTTAAAAAATCATTGCCTTTCTCTCGATTTCTATAGGTTTGCTACGGTCATTAAAAATAAATTCTTGAATTAGATGCTTGACTCATTTGTTTTAAAATTTTTAACAGAGACAAGTTGTAAAGCTAAGAATTAACAATGAATTCAGATTTTGTGGCAACCTATAAGCTGTAGTCAGGTAAAGTGCTAAAATTTCCTTTATTTTTAAATATTTTCTCTACTTAATCTAGAATTGCAGTTTTAGTTTTCTCTACTATTTATGGGTTATTTAAGAATGTATTTCTCCATTTTCCAAGTATTTGATTTTATTCTGTAAACTTTTGTAACTAAATAGATTGTTTTCATTCAAGCAATAATGACTATAAAATTTTTATTTTTTTGAAATTTGTATTGCTTTCTTTGCAAATTATATTTTATTATTTTCCTAAATATTTTTTAAATGTTTAAAATGAATTGCAAGCTCTCTTTTAGGAGTTAAAAGTTTTAAAAATTTTTACTAATTCAAAACTGTCAACTAACATTCAATTTTTAAAATATGCTTTATTTTCCTCTACTTAATTTATTTTAAAATTTTCCTTATGTATCAATGCCATTTTAAGCTATGATTTGTTTTTGCTTTGATATCCGTTGTTGTCCAGACTCTATATTTACAGCTATTGCTATTTGTTTTGGATAAGTATTTGATAAACATTTATTGTTTAATAATATGCTTTTTTGGCTCACATTTTATCTTGTATAAGCATTATGTCATCATATATTTTTGGGCTCTTTTCATTTTCCTGGTCTTTTTTATAAACTAAGTTTTCACCTTGCTTTTATTCATATCTATTTCTATAACTAGGGAATTTTTATTCTGTTGGTTAGTGTTAGCAAAAATGGTCAACAGATTCTATGATTTTGGAGACAATACTCAAGTTGAGGAAATGTTGAAATGGTAATTAAATTAAATTCTAATTAAATTAAGACTAACTTATACTCTTTATAACATAGTTTAGAAAGCCTATATATAATGTTATTACATACAAGTAACATAGTCTACGGCAATATGAAAGATTTAGACTATTTGCATTTGCCCTGTAATTTCCTTGTTATATTAGTGCACATCATATTTTATGCAAGACGTAGTCTGAAGTAACATAAGACATAATCTTCCTATTTATGGTGCCATATAAAAATGCTATTTAATATAAATACAATAAAGAAAATAAGACAACAATAGAGCATGCCAAAAATATGAACAGCTGTGTTTGCTCCAAATAATTGACAGACATAATGGTAATAACTTATTTTGCTGAGCACTTACCATGTGCCAGACAATATTCAAAGGGCTTTAGATTTATAATTAACATAGTTTATCTACACAAGGTAACTTTCAAGTAGGTACTAGCAATATCCACATGTTAATCTCATGTAATGGAAAGCCATCTTTCTACTTGTTCAGGCAAAGACATAAGAATGATTCTGGAATTTTCTCTTTATCTCATACACCTCACATCCAATCCACCAGCATATTATGTTGACTCTACATACAGAATATATTTGGAATCTAACTACTTCTCAACACTTTCTCTGCTACCACCCTAGCCCAAGAAACCATTATCTCAGTCTCAAAATTATTGCTGCAGCCTCCTAGCTTGTCTTTCTGTTTTGGCCTTATCCTTCTTGAATTTAATCTCAATGTAAGAGCCAGAGTGATTCTGTTAAACAGTGAGTTGGATCAGATCACTTTCTTCAAAAATCCTAAAAGGCTTCTCATCAGAGTAAAAACCAAAGTGTTTACAAGAGCCCACTGGTCCAAAGGGACCATGTCCCCACTCCTCACCTGTATGCCTTCATTCCTTATTATGTTCATCACACTCACTTTGTTTTGACACATGACCTCCTAAATCTTTCTGTACGGGTTAATCCTGATACTGCCTGGAATGTTTGCATTTTCTCTTCTTCATTCTGAAACTTCCTTTTTGTACATAACTGCATGCTTTTTTCTTATCCTCTTCTTAATAAGAACATCCTTACCACCTTATTTAAAATCGTGCCTATTCCTTGTCCCTCTTTCATGCTTGATTTTCCATAACTATTATCTTCATCTAACATTTTATATATTTAGTTCATGCCTTTTTTTTCTTGTCTACCACCTCCATGTATGCTCAATGAGTCCAGCATTTTTGCTTACTTCTTTCAAAATTGTATCCCCAGCACCTAGAACATTGTCTCAATAAATGTGTCTGAAGGCTGAATTTCACGGATGATGAAACTGGGGTAGAGAGATTAAACAACTGGTTCATGGTCACTCCACTAGTTAAAGAACAAGCTCACATTTGAACCCAGACAGTCTAACTCTACAGTTCACACTCTTCATCACCACTCTATGATCGGGTTTTTTCCTAAAAAATGACACTACTATTATCAGAGTTTAAAAAAATGGAATTCATTATTATATTAAAGAAAGCATTAAATAAAATACCTGGGGCTGATGAAAGCTGCATGTTGCTTTCAACAGTGTGATTTTGGCAATACTAGCTAAATATTTCAAACATATAAGTACAGTTCTATTTACAGAAAGAATAATTCTGTAAAAGAAAGAACAATTTATCAGAAGATGGAATGGTGTTGGGAAAAGAATCTGTATTACTCAGAGTACAGGCTACCCTGGTGTAACAAAGGGATTCAGAAACAGAATAGTTCAAACAAAGAAAAAAGTATTCTTGGTCATAATCTTGCAGAGTTTAACTGACTAGGGTTTGTGGATGGCTCGTTCTCACAAGGTAATTCTGGGACCTAGGTTTCTTCTATGTTGTTGATCTGTTATCTCCCAGATGTCCTCTTCAGCATCATTGAAGAGGGTTCATCTAACACT